CTCGGGGACACCCCCAGGGACACGGGGGCAGCTGGGGGACACGGGGACAACTGGGGGACACCTTGGGGACACCCCCAGGGACACCCCCAGGGACACCTGAGGGACACGGGGACACCTCCCAGGGATGTGGGGACACCTTGGGGACACCCCCAGGGACACGGGGACACCTCCAGTGTCACCCCCCAGGGACACGGGGACACCCTGAGGTCACCCCCAGGGACACCCCGGTGTCACCTCTGGGAATGACGTCCCCACCTGCCAGCGTCACCTGCTGTGACCAGGCCTGTGGTGGCATCAGGGACACAAGGCAGCCCCTCAGTGTCCCCTCAGTGTCCCCTCAGTGTCCCCACAACGTCTTCTCAATGTCCCCACAATGTCCTCAGTGTCACCCCAATGCCCCCTCAACCACCTCTCACTGTCCCCACGATGTCCCCTCAATGTCCCCTCATTGTCCCCCCAATGTCCCCTCACTGTCCCCTCAATGTCCCCTCACTGTCCCCCCAATGTCCACTCAATGTCCTCTCACTGTCCCCTGACTGTCCCCTCGATGTCCTCTCGCTGTCCCCTCATTGTCCCCTCAATGTCCACTCGCTGTCCCCTCAATGTCCCCTCACTGTCCTCTCGATGTCCCCTCACTGTCCCCTCACTGTCCCCACAATGTCCCCTCATTGTCCCCTCAATGTCCTCTCAATGTCCTCTCACTGTTCCCTGACTGTCCCCTCGATGTCCTCTCAATGTCCCCTCATTGTCCCCTCGCTGTCCCCTCACTGTCCCCTCGCTGTTCCCTCGCTGTCCTCTCAATGTCCCCTCACTGTCCCCTCGATGTCCTCTCGATGTCCCCACAATGTCCCCTCACTGTCCCCTCACTGTCCCCTCACTGTCCTCTCAATGTCCCCTCACTGTCCCCTCACTCCCCCCTCATTGTCCCCTCACTGTCCCCCCAATGTCCCCTCACTGTCCCCTCAATGTCCCCTCACTGTCCCCCCAATGTCCACTCAATGTCCTCTCACTGGCCCCTGACTGTCCCCCCCTTGTCCCCACCTGCTGCAGGCGCCCGATGCGGGCGGCGATGTCCCCTCGGTGGCCACCGATGACGTCCCCGCGGTGGCCGCCGTCCCCCCCGTGCCGGTGGCCGATGTCCCCAGCGCGATGGCTGATGTCCCCAGAGCGGTGGCCGATGTCCCCAGGCCGATGGCCGATGTCCCCAGGCCTGTGGCCGATGTCCCCAGGCCGATGGCCGATGTCCCCAGGCCTGTGGCCGATCTCCCCAGGCCGATGACCAGTGTCCCCAGAGCGATGGCCGATGTCCCCAGGCCGATGACCAGTGTCCCCTCGGTGGCCAATGTCCCCTGGTCGGTGGCCGATGTCCCCAGGCCTGTGGCCGATCTCCCCAGGCCGATGACCAGTGTCCCCAGAGCGATGGCCGATGTCCCCAGGCCGATGACCAGTGTCCCCTCGGTGGCCAATGTCCCCTGGTCGGTGGCCGATGTCCCCAGGCCTGTGGCCGATCTCCCCAGGCCGATGACCAGTGTCCCCAGAGCGATGGCCGATGTCCCCAGGCCGATGACCAGTGTCCCCTCGGTGGCCAATGTCCCCTGGTCGGTGGCCGATGTCCCCAGGCCTGTGGCCGATCTCCCCAGGCCGATGACCAGTGTCCCCAGAGCGATGGCCGATGTCCCCAGGCCGATGACCAGTGTCCCCTCGGTGGCCAATGTCCCCTGGTCGGTGGCCGATGTCCCCAGGCCTGTGGCCGATCTCCCCAGGCCGATGACCAGTGTCCCCAGAGCGATGGCCGATGTCCCCAGGCCGATGACCAGTGTCCCCTCGGTGGCCAATGTCCCCTGGTCGGTGGCCGATGTCCCCAGGCCTGTGGCCGATCTCCCCAGGCCGATGACCAGTGTCCCCAGAGCGATGGCCGATGTCCCCAGGCCGATGACCAGTGTCCCCTCGGTGGCCAATGTCCCCTGGTCGGTGGCCGATGTCCCCAGGCCTGTGGCCGATCTCCCCAGGCCGATGACCAGTGTCCCCAGAGCGATGGCCGATGTCCCCAGGCCGATGACCAGTGTCCCCTCGGTGGCCAATGTCCCCTGGTCGGTGGCCGATGTCCCCAGGCCTGTGGCCGATCTCCCCAGGCCGATGACCAGTGTCCCCAGAGCGATGGCCGATGTCCCCAGGCCGATGACCAGTGTCCCCTCGGTGGCCAATGTCCCCTGGTCGGTGGCCGATGTCCCCAGGCCTGTGGCCGATCTCCCCAGGCCGATGACCAGTGTCCCCAGAGCGATGGCCGATGTCCCCAGGCCGATGACCAGTGTCCCCTCGGTGGCCAATGTCCCCTGGTCGGTGGCCGATGTCCCCAGGCCTGTGGCCGATCTCCCCAGGCCGATGACCAGTGTCCCCAGAGCGATGGCCGATGTCCCCAGGCCGATGACCAGTGTCCCCTCGGTGGCCAATGTCCCCTGGTCGGTGGCCGATGTCCCCAGGCCTGTGGCCGATCTCCCCAGGCCGATGACCAGTGTCCCCAGAGCGATGGCCGATGTCCCCAGGCCGATGACCAGTGTCCCCTCGGTGGCCAATGTCCCCTGGTCGGTGGCCGATGTCCCCAGGCCTGTGGCCGATCTCCCCAGGCCGATGACCAGTGTCCCCAGAGCGATGGCCGATGTCCCCAGGCCGATGACCAGTGTCCCCTCGGTGGCCAATGTCCCCTGGTCGGTGGCCGATGTCCCCAGGCCTGTGGCCGATCTCCCCAGGCCGATGACCAGTGTCCCCAGAGCGATGGCCGATGTCCCCAGGCCGATGACCAGTGTCCCCTCGGTGGCCAATGTCCCCTGGTCGGTGGCCGATGTCCCCAGGCCTGTGGCCGATCTCCCCAGGCCGATGACCAGTGTCCCCAGAGCGATGGCCGATGTCCCCAGGCCGATGACCAGTGTCCCCTCGGTGGCCAATGTCCCCTGGTCGGTGGCCGATGTCCCCAGGCCTGTGGCCGATCTCCCCAGGCCGATGACCAGTGTCCCCAGAGCGATGGCCGATGTCCCCAGGCCGATGACCAGTGTCCCCTCGGTGGCCAATGTCCCCTGGTCGGTGGCCGATGTCCCCAGGCCTGTGGCCGATCTCCCCAGGCCGATGACCAGTGTCCCCAGAGCGATGGCCGATGTCCCCAGGCCGATGACCAGTGTCCCCTCGGTGGCCAATGTCCCCTGGTCGGTGGCCGATGTCCCCAGGCCTGTGGCCGATCTCCCCAGGCCGATGACCAGTGTCCCCAGAGCGATGGCCGATGTCCCCAGGCCGATGACCAGTGTCCCCTCGGTGGCCAATGTCCCCTGGTCGGTGGCCGATGTCCCCAGGCCTGTGGCCGATCTCCCCAGGCCGATGACCAGTGTCCCCAGAGCGATGGCCGATGTCCCCAGGCCGATGACCAGTGTCCCCTCGGTGGCCAATGTCCCCTGGTCGGTGGCCGATGTCCCCAGGCCTGTGGCCGATCTCCCCAGGCCGATGACCAGTGTCCCCAGAGCGATGGCCGATGTCCCCAGGCCGATGACCAGTGTCCCCTCGGTGGCCAATGTCCCCTGGTCGGTGGCCGATGTCCCCAGGCCTGTGGCCGATCTCCCCAGGCCGATGACCAGTGTCCCCAGAGCGATGGCCGATGTCCCCAGGCCGATGACCAGTGTCCCCTCGGTGGCCAATGTCCCCTGGTCGGTGGCCGATGTCCCCAGGCCTGTGGCCGATCTCCCCAGGCCGATGACCAGTGTCCCCAGAGCGATGGCCGATGTCCCCAGGCCGATGACCAGTGTCCCCTCGGTGGCCAATGTCCCCTGGTCGGTGGCCGATGTCCCCAGGCCTGTGGCCGATCTCCCCAGGCCGATGACCAGTGTCCCCAGAGCGATGGCCGATGTCCCCAGGCCGATGACCAGTGTCCCCTCGGTGGCCAATGTCCCCTGGTCGGTGGCCGATGTCCCCAGGCCTGTGGCCGATCTCCCCAGGCCGATGACCAGTGTCCCCAGAGCGATGGCCGATGTCCCCAGGCCGATGACCAGTGTCCCCTCGGTGGCCAATGTCCCCTGGTCGGTGGCCGATGTCCCCAGGCCTGTGGCCGATCTCCCCAGGCCGATGACCAGTGTCCCCAGAGCGATGGCCGATGTCCCCAGGCCGATGACCAGTGTCCCCTCGGTGGCCAATGTCCCCTGGTCGGTGGCCGATGTCCCCAGGCCTGTGGCCGATCTCCCCAGGCCGATGACCAGTGTCCCCAGAGCGATGGCCGATGTCCCCAGGCCGATGACCAGTGTCCCCTCGGTGGCCAATGTCCCCTGGTCGGTGGCCGATGTCCCCAGGCCTGTGGCCGATCTCCCCAGGCCGATGACCAGTGTCGAGGGGGCGGCTGCTGGGCGGGGGCGGCCCCTCCCTCACTGCCGCATACACCTGGGACAGGTACGGGCACTCAGGGGGGCCCCGGGCACCTGGGGGGGGCTGGGTCCCCCCGCGGCCCCCCCGTGGGGGGGGGGAGGGGGCGGCTGCTGGGCGGGGGCGGCCCCTCCCTCACTGCCGCATACACCTGGGACAGGTACGGGCACTCAGGGGGGCCCCGGGCACCTGGGGGTACCTGGGGGGCACCTGGGGACACCTGGGGATACCTGGGGGACACCTGGGGGCTCCTGGGGGCACCTGGGGGCTCCTGGGGGCTCCTGGGACAGGTACGGGCACCTGGGGGTTCAATTCTGGGGCACTTTTAGGGCACTTTTTGGGGCAATTCTGGGTCAGTTTTAGGGCAGTTCCGGGGCACTTTTAGGGCACTTTTGGGGCAGTTCTGGGGCACTTTTAGGGCACTTTTTGGGGCAGTTTAGGGGCAGTTCCGGGCCAGTTTTAGGGCAGTTTTGGGTCAATTCTGGGGCACTTTTAGGGCAATTCTGGGTCAATTTTAGGGCAATTTTGGATCAGTTCCAGGGCTCTTTTAGGGCAATTTTAGGGCAGTTTAGGGGCAGTTCTGGGACAATTTTGGGGCAGTTCTGGGGCAATTTTGGGGCAGTTCTGGGGCACTTTTGGGGCAGTTCTGGGGCACTTTTAGGGCACTTTTTGGGGCAATTCTGGGTCAGTTTTAGGGCAGTTTTGGGGCAGTTCTGGGGCAGTTTTGGGGCAGTTTTGGGTCAATTCCGGGGCACTTTTAGGGCAATTCTGGGTCAATTTTAGGGCAGTTCTGAAGCTCCGCCCCCAGCGGCAGGGGTGGGTGATGTCACAATCACGTGGTGCGGAAGTGGGCGGTACTTCACACACGCACCGCAGACCCCGCCCCGCAGTTCTGGGGCACTTTTGGGGCAGTTTTGGGTCAATTCCGGGGCTCTTTTAGGACAATTCTGGGTCAATTTTAGGGCAGTTCTGAAGCTCCGCCCCCAGCGGCAGGGGTGGGTGATGTCACAATCACGTGGTGCGGAAGTGGGCGGTACTTCACACACGCACCGCAGACCCCGCCCCCCTCGGCCCACGCCCCGCCCCCTCACCGATGACGCGACGCTCTCCAGGAAGCGGCCAATCACAGCGCGCCTCTCGCCTGGCAGCCAATCATCGCTCCCTTCCGGCTCTGGCTCAGCCTGAGGGCGACCAATGGAGAGAGGGGTCAGGCTGGTGCCGGCCAATGAGCGGAGGGGAGGGCGGGGCCAGGCGGGGCCCCGCCCCCTGTGGGGCTGAATGGAGAAAAGCGTTGGGGACATTTGGGGACATTTGGGGACACGGAGGGGCGGGGCCTTCCCCCACCCCCAGCTGTGACGTCATGGCCACAACTGGGGGGGGAGAATTTCGGGGCCTTCCCGTGACGTCACGGTTGGGGGCGTGGCCAAGGGGACCCCGCGACGCCCACGGGGAGCGGGAAGGGGATGGCGACACTCGGGACAGGGTGACACCGAGACAGGGTGACACCGAGACAGGGTGACACCAGGACAGGGTGACACTGGGGACAGGGTGACACCGGGACAGGGTGACACCGGGACAGGGTGACACGGGGACAGGGTGACACTGGGACAGAGTGACACTGAGAAACAGGGTGAAACCGAGACAGGGTGACACCAGGACAGGGTGACAGCGGGACAGGGTGACACGGGGACAGGGTGACACTGAGACAGGGTGACACCGAGACAGGGTGACACCGAGACAGGGTGACACAGGGACAGGGTGACACAGGGACAGGGTGACACTGGGGACGGTGACACTGAGACAGGGTGACACAGGGACAGGGTGACGCTGGGGAGGGTGACACTGAGACAGGGGGACACAGGGACAGGGCGACACGGGGCCAGGGTGACACCGGGACAGAGTGACACTGAGGAACAGGGTGACACATTGGGACAGGGTGACACCAGGACAGGGTGACACAGGGACAGGGTGACACTGGGACAGGGTGACACTGAGGAACAGGGTGACACCGGGACAGGGTGACACAGGGACAGAGTGACACTGAGGAACAGGGTGACACTGAGGAACAGGGCGACACGGGGACAGGGTGACACTGGGACAGGGTGACACAGGGACAGGGTGACACACTAGGACAGGGTGACACTGGGGACAGGGTGACACCGAGACAGGGTGACACCGGGACAGGGTGACACGGGGGCAGGGTGACACCAGGACAGGGTGACACACTCGGGACAGGGTGACACTGGGACGGCAACACTCGGGACAGGGTGACACCAGGACAGGGTGACACCGGGACAGGGTGACACTGGGGACAGGGTGAGACAGGGTGACACAGGGACAGGGTGACACCAGGACAGGGTGACACTGGGGACACGTGAGCAGAGCCCCGGGACACCCCCAGGGTGACACGGGAGGGACACGTGACCCCAAACATGGGTGACCAGAGTGACCCACGGCCAGAGTGACCAACAACCACCCTGACCAATAACCAGAGTGACCCATGGCCAGAGTGACCAACATCAGAGTGACCCACTGCCACGAGTGACCCACAGCCAGAGTGACCCACGGCCAGAGTCACCAACAGCCCGAGTGACCAACAACCACCCTGACCAATAACCAGAGTGACCCATGGCCAGAGTGACCAACATCAGAGTGACCCACGGTCACCAGTTAGCCATGGCCAGAGTGACCCACAGTGACCAACAGCCAGACTGACCAATAACCAGAGTGACCCACGGTCATGAGTGACCCACAGTGACCCACAGCCACGAGTGACCCACAGCCAGTGCCCAACAGCCAGAGTGACCAATAACCAGAGTGACCCATGGTCAGAGCAACCCAGGGTCACCAGTGACCAACAGCCAGAGTGACCAATAATCAGAGTGACACAGAGCCATGAGTGACCAACAACCACACAGCCAGTGATCAATAACCAGAGTGACCCATGGCCAGAGTGACCCACGGCCAGAGTGACCAACAGCCAGAGTGACCAATAATCAGAGTGACACAGAGCCATGAGTGACCAACAACCAGAGTGACCCATGGCCAATAACCAGATTGACCCACATTCAGAGTGACCCACAGCCAGACTGACCAATAACCACCCTGACCAAGAACCAGAGTGACCTACGGTCAGAGTGACTAACAGTCAGCCTGACCAACAACCAGAGTGACCCACAGTGACCACAGCCAGAGTGACCAATAACCACCCTGACCAATAACCAGTGTGACCTACAGCCAGTGACCAATAACCAGAGTGACCCACGGCCAGAGTGACCCCCAGCGCCCCCCGGCCAGGCTGGTCACACACCCTGTGACCCGCGGTCACACAGTCACCGTGCCGCCCCCTCCCCCACGCCGCGGTGACCCTCCCCCACTGTCCCCTCGGTGTCCCCGCTGTCCCCTCGGTCCCCCCGTGTCCCCTCGTGTCCCCGCTGTCCCTCACCGTCCCCGCGTGCCGCTGCCGTGTCCGGCCCCGCGTGGTGACACCGCGTGGTGACACCGGCACCGCGTGAGTCACCGGCCCGCGTGGGTGTCCCCTCCCCTCCCCCCGCCCGACACCGTGACGTCAGCCGGATGCCCGTGACGGAGAGGGGGGAGGGGGAATCCCGGCCGGGGGACACGGGGTGGGGACACGGGGGGACACTGGGGGGGACACGGGGTGGGGGACACAGGGGGGGACATTGGGGGACACGGGGGGGACACAGGAAATGGGACACGGGAGGACACATGGCGGGGACAGGACATGGGGGACACCGGGGGACAGGTGGGGAGGACACGGGTCACAGGGGGACACGGGGGACACACACGTGGTGACACGGAGAGGGCACGTGGGGACGCCCAGGGACACGCGGGGTGACACACGGGGTGACACGGGGACACGCAGGGTGACGTGAGGACAGGGGACACCCGGGGACACGTACAGCCCCACAGTGACACAGCTGGGACACACGTGTGACACCCGTGTCACCGCTGTGCCCTGCCTGGGGTGGCCCTGGGACATTGGGGGACCCTGGGGTGTCCCTGTGGCACTGAGGTGTCCCTGGGGTGTCCCCAAGGCGTCCCCAGGATGTCCCTGTGACATTGGGGTGTCCCCATGGTGTCCCCGGGGTGTCCCCAGGGTGCCCCCAGGGTGTCCCTGTCTGTCCCCAGGGTGTCCCCGGGGTGTCCCTGTCTGTCCCCAGGGTGTCCCCAGGGTGTCCCTGGACCCGGGGGAGCCGCGGGGGGGGAGGGGCAGAGTGACCTGGGTGTGTGATACAGGCGTCACACTGTCCTACAGGTGTCACACAGGTGTGACATTGTCCTGTGGGGGGTGACACAGGTGTGACAGTGTCCTCTGAAGGTGCCACATGTGTGACACTGTCATACTCTGTGTCACACACACACACACACCCAGTGTCACACACCTGGCAGGGTGTCACTGTCACACCCTGTCACACACACACCTGGTGACACTGTCACACCCGGTGTCACACACACACACACCCACCCGGTGTCACTCACACCTGGTGTCACTGTCACACCCGGTGTCACACACACCTGGACAGTGTGACACTGTCACACCCTGTCACACACACACCTGGTGTCACTGTCACACTCGGTGTCACTCACACCCAGCGTCACTCACACCTCGCAAGGTGACACTGTCACACCCGGTGTCACACACACACCCGGTGTCACTCACACCCAGTGTCACTCACACCTCACTCACACCCGACCTGGCAGGCAAGGTGACACTGTCACACCTGGTGTCACTCACACCCGCTGTCACTCACACCTGGCAAGGAGGGGGCAGGGCCGTGGGGGGAGGGGCACTCACGTGTCCACGGCTCCGGTCCGGTGGGGGGAGGGGCTACGCGCCGGCCATGGCCTGGGACTGGGGGGGGACAGAGCCTTACTGGGAGCACTGGGAGCACTGGGAAGCCCCTCCCCCCTCCCAGTGCCATACTGGGACCAGCAGGGCCCAGGGAGCTGCTCCCCAGTATGACCAGTGCTCCCAGTATGACCAGTACCAGTGCTCCCAGTATGACCAGTACCAGTGCTCCCAGTATAACCAGTATGACCAGTACCAGTGCTCCCAGTATCCCCAGTATGACCAGTACCAGTGCTCCCAGTATGACCAGTACCAGTGCTCCCAGTATCCCCAGTATGACCAGTACCAGTGTTCCCAGTATGACCAGTACCAGCATTCCCAGTATCCCCAGTATGACCAGTACAACCAGTACCGCTGTTCCCGGTATCCCCAGTAGCTCCCAGTAAGACCCTTCCCCACCATTCTGAGGCCCCAGTGCTCCCAGTGCTCCCAGTATCTCACACGCTTGGCTCCAGTAACACCCCCACCCCCCATACCCAGCTCCCAGTGTTCCCAGTATAACCAGTAGTGGCTGTTCCCAGCTCCCGGTAACACCAGTAACACCAGTAGCCATCATTCCCAGTAACACCAGTAACTGTTGTTCCCAGTAACACCAATGACTGTTATTCCCAGCTCCCAGTAACACCAGTAACCATCGCTCCAGTAACACCAGTAACCGTCACTCCCAGTAACACCACTAACTGTCACACCCAGTTACACCAGTAACTGTTATTCCCAGCTCCCAGTAACACCAGTAACCATCGCTCCCAGTAACACCAGTAACACCAGTAACTGTCACTCGAGGTAACACCAACTGTCACCACAACACCAGTAACTGTTATACCCTATACCCAGCTGCCAGTAACACCGGTAACCGTCACTCCCAGTAACACCAGTAACTGTCACTCGAGGTAACACCAGTAACCATCACTCCCAGTAACACCAGTAACTGTTATACCCAGCTGCCAGTAACACCGGTAACCGTCACTCCCAGTAACACCAGTAACTGCCACTCCCAACTCCCAGTAACACCAATAACTGTCATTCCCAGTAACACCAGTAACTGTCATTCCCACTAATACCAATAACCGTCACTCCCAGTAAAACCGGTAACTGTCACTCCCAGCTCACAGTAACACCAGTAACCGTTACCCCCAGTAACACCGGTAATGCCAGTAACCGTCACTCCCAGTAACACCAGTAACTATCACCTCCAGTAACACCAGTAACCGTCATTCCCAGCTCCCAATAACACCAGTAACCGTTACCCCCAGTAACACCGGTAACTGTCACTCCCAGTAACACCAGTAACCGTCACTCAGTAACACCAGTATAACACCAATAATTGTCACTCCCAGTAACACCGGTAACTGTCACTCCCAGCTTCCAGTAACACCAATAACTGTCATTCCCAGTAACACCAGTAACTGTCACTCCCAGTAACACCGGTAACACCAGTAACTGTCACTGCCAGTAACACCAGTAACCCTCACTCCCAGCTCCCAGTACAATCTGCTATTCCCAGTGCTCCCAGTACAAATACACACAGAGCTCCCAGTACACAAACACCTCCTGGTCCAGCTCCCAGTGCTCCCAGTACAACCCTTACCCTGTTCCCAGTACAGCTCTTACCCCACTCCCAGCACTCCCAGTACAACCCTTACCCAGCTCCCAGTGCTCCCAGTACAGCCCTTACCCCGTTCCCAGTGCTCCCAGTACAGCCCTTACCCTGTTCCCAGTACAGCCTTCACCCTTGCCCCCGGCTCCCAGTGCTCCCAGTACAGCCCTTACCACATTCCCAGTACAGCCTTCACCCTTGCCCCTAGCTCCCAGTGCTCCCAGTCCCTCCCAGTGCTCCCAGTACAGCCGTTACTCCCATTCCCAGTGCTCCCAGTACAGCCCTTACCCCGTTCCCAGTGCTCCCAGTACAGCCCTTACCCCGTTCCCAGTACAGCCTTCACCCTTGCCCCCAGCTCCCAGTCCCTCC